TATATGTGTGTGTGTGTGTGTGTGTGTGTGTGTGTGTGTGTGTGTGTGTGTGTGTGTGTATGTGTGTGTAAATGTTTATACATCATGTTCTCATGTAGTAATTGCATAGGTGCTAAATGCAAATCCCGAAGAACAAAAGACGTGGCGTCTGCAATCGTGATGGTGTGAATGATGTCAATTTGATTACTAAATATATACAACTATAGGGGTGGATGATAGCGTCTTTCAATATAGTGAAGCATATATATACAACAACGTATGCACAGGGATGTAGGCATACATTATGAGTGCATGGCCAAGACGACCGCGAAAGGCAGTCTTGACAACAAAATAAGACTTCGGCAGGCTTTAAAAAGTGATTACCATACGTAAACAAAACGAGCCTGGACATTAAAAAGTTTGCATTTAAAGTAGAATATTTGCACACTACACATAAATAGTGATTTCAAATATAAAACTCATATTTTTATGATAGTGACTCAGAATGAATAAGACGCAGTTCATCATAATTGTAAAGGTGTCGAAAAAAAAATACAATTCGAATTGAAGAACATACGAGATATTCATGGTAGATGTACTCACCATGCGTGCATCCGACTTCTGGTTATATTGCACAGCCGCCTTCTCTTTTAGTAATCCCTTTCGTATGATACCGTCTAAAGCGTATACTGTCAACAGCCCACCTAGGGCCAGGGGTGCAAGTGATAGCATGTTCATGTGCAAAATCGCAAAGTATTCAATTGATCGAGTACTGCGCAAAGTATTCAAATTGATCAAGTACTGCGGTGCAAAACTGTATACGTGCACGTCAACGACAGTTGCTTTCGCATTAATTTATTCCGTTATGTACTGTGTATTGATTGTTGACAATGAATAACAGCTAATACTCGACAATTAATAGCCTCTAATCGTCTCTATTTGTGATTGAAATAAATAAGAACTGAATACGTGGAGTACATAGCACGCGACGTGTGTCCGCCAATTTTGCCATATAAAGAATCAACAGATATGAATTTTATAGAGAAAAAAATAGCCTTTTTTTGTTTTTATTTTAAAACATTAAAAATATGATGTTCAATTTAGAAGAGGCTATGAAAAAAAAACAAAATCTCTAGTCACTATTGACATTGTCGCATACAAAATATCACTCGGGTAGTCGGGCTCTCATGAGTTTTTACCACCCCACCAGAGTGGCACAGAGTGACAGTCTCTCAGGACTCGGAGTCACAGAGGTATTAGTATGTACATATTTACATATTTATTCGTACATATGTACCAGCCATACATAGTGCCCCGCTGCCAGCTGTCTATTTTTTTGTGATTTAAAAACTTCTCACTACTGCCTGCTGGTGGGCCAGCTGGAGCCCGCCTGGCGCCTCTGGGAGTCTGGGGAGACTTTATTAGTCATCATGTGACGTCCAGAGTTCCAGACTCCAGACCCCAAAGAGTGCCGACTACCGATTGCCGATTGCTTTTTTTTAATATATCAATATAAACAATTTTTAAATATTTATTTCATATTTGTGTTGAATGTTGATGTATGAATCGTATGACGTGACGTCGTGGCGTCACTGGCGCCTAGTCGAGTGATCGGATATTTATCTATTTTCAACAAAAACTCTCTCTGCAGTTGTAGTAAATACTTTCAGATTTTTTTTTGCTTTTTTGATTCTTTTTGAAATGAGGTACATCATACATACAGTAGTAGAATTTATGAAGTATTTTTTCTCTAAAAATAGAACTTTCTCACAGGTCCCAGTGACCAATTAAATATTTACTAAATAGATTCAAGCATTTTCTTTTTATTTATTTTTAAAAGAGAATTTAAAACATTTTGTTTTTGTTTTTGTTTTTTTAATTTTAAATGTTATGAATTCTCAATTTATGTTTCATTGATAATTTGATTTGCGTACAGTCGAAAGTTCGAAGTATTTTTTAAAATTACATGACTCATAGGATCTAAATATTTAAATACTTATTATTCCCATTATCTCATAGCCTTCTTGTTGCATTCTCACTTGATGTCAGTTTTGTTTTTTATATAAAAAGACCTGATGGCTGAATCAGTGGCTGATGGACAAAACATTATCATACAATCTATTTTTTGAGTTTCAGACTTTGAGTTTGAGGCAGCAGGTTGACTGTATGAGCCTTGTGCGGCACCTTGTTTGAGAATTGAGGGCCTTTCCTCATATAAATTTAATCTCCGGTGGTGGAGACGTGGACTCTCGCTCGTTTACTCTCGCTCGTGAACTCTCTCGCGTGGCCATCTTTTGAAATGTATTTATGAGGTAGCGTTGTTAATTTCAGAAATTTAAGTCTCGATTCTCGAGGAGTCGAGACTCGGACTGCAGACCGACTCTCGAATTTTCCGTCATTCGATGCAGAATTGTTATTGCAGATTGGTAGGAAACTCGAAAGATATTTGTTTCCTTCGTTCCCGTTCCGGTGCGACCATATGTAACGCTTTTCATTATTTGTTTTTGTTTTTTATCAATTGTAGATATGTATCGACCATTCGGTAGGCAGCGCTGCGGACTGCGGCGGTGCTATTCGATGAATTTTGCACTGAAGCTGCTGCTATGACAGAGTCAAAGAGGCAGAACCTGTGAGGCGTGACTTGTTGCGAGTTGTGATGTGAGTTGGGACTTGGGAGTCTTGGGAGTTGGGACACAGTGAGTCTGTGAGAGTCTGTGACAACGGCAATTGTTTTTTCACGGCAGTTAGAGGCAGACTCACTGAGTGAGACTTTCAGTATCCAGTAAGTGTGTGCCAGAGTCCAGATTGGCAGTGACCCAGTCCAGAGTGTGGCACTTGTTTGAGACTTCGAGACTTTGAGACTTGAAGACGAAACTATAACCTCAACTCTGAGACTCTGAGTGTCAAGGTTTGTGCATTTTGAAAACTTGACCAAGTAACTGATTTTTTTACTTGATTTTTTTTTAATCTTTCTAAAATAGCATCGGTGTTTTATTAGACAAATAAAAATCTTTCTAATAATAGTTCTCCGTTTCGAACACGAGAGTGATGAGTCTCGAACTCACGTAGTCTCGCAGCTCTCGCTCCCGCACCCAATCGCGGCACTACAGTCACGCAGCTTTAAAAAATACCTCTCTAGCAAGATTGTCGTCTTTTAACTTTATCGATGTTGGATCCAATCCATAACGACTCTGTCTTTTTGCACCAATCATAACGAAATATTCATCAGATGAGTCAACTTATAATTTTATTCGTAAACTGTTGCCACCTGTGGCGGTGAGTCACGATTCCGAAAATTTATGAATCTGTACACGAATGATAAATGTATTGATTGCTCCAAATTTGATTGTTTCAGGATTTTTTTCCGCTTTTTGTATTCTGGTTTCTGACCAACCCCCCCCCCCCTCCCAGGAGTCTCAGGCTCCCCCTCCTCCATCCCCTGCCCACTCCTGGACCCTGGGCCCTGGCCCCTACCCTAGCTAGAGAGAGCTCCTGGCCGGGCCCTGGGCCCTTGGCCCTTGGATCAGTGGGTCACCTGGCCCCATTTCTCAGACAGCCATACTGTAGTACTACATAGTACATACTGTCATTTACGTTTCAAGACATTCAAACCGTGATGGTCCTATTATTGTCGCTATGGACTCATATTCCGAGACTCGAGGTTAAAATGATTCGCGTTTTGTCTCCTGGTGTCCGTTTATTTAAACAATAGGTTGGTTATTTTTCCTAGTTTGACCCGTATAACACCATTTTAAACGGAGTGAGATTTTCCCCACAGGCCACAGGCCACAGGCCACAGGCCAAGAGCCGAAAAAAGAACTTCGAAATTGGAGCGCTCTTGGTTTCCATTTTTTTATAGTAATAATAAAAATGCTGTGAACACTATTTGTTCATAAAACCATCCAAAAATATTAACCATTTGACAGCGATGATTTCGATTTTGGAACCCTCCCGTGGCAAAGCGAGCCTTACTTTTTTTACGACAGCCTTCTACTATCGGCTAGAGCAATGAATAAATATAACTATTGCGGCGGTGGTAGTGGCTGCTCAGTTACAGGGATTAATGGGATACAACTCTAGTAAATGTTTGATAATATTAGCGTACTCACCCCAAAGGGGCATAGCCGCAGTAACAGCGGCAGCAGAGGGCATAGTCGGAACAACAGCGGTAATTGTAATTTTTCCGCTTCACCGCGCAAAACAATGGCATACAACAGACAAACAAGTAGTGTGGGATCAGTCAATAGTTTAGAATTACCTGTAAGCGAAGACACACTGCTAAAACCTCGCAGCAGGAGCATATCGGAGGCAGATATTGAACAGTACAGATGTGCCAATCGAGTTCGAGTGTTCTTCTTCGTCATACTGGCCATTGTCTCCATCGCACCTTTAGCATTACATTCGCTCCGAGTTATTAATAACTCACGTACGTCTTGTGGATGGAATAATGACGGCGCTTGGGTGACTGGCGTAGCGTACGGACCGAATCCTTATGATCTGTCCTACGGTACGAATGCAGGGGTCACATGCGCTAATGTCAAAGACGTACCCGCAGGGTTTGTCACAGATACTTTCATAGTACCGAGTGCGGACGAGAGCGAGAAGTGGTTGATGTTTTTTGAAGTACGGAACTACGATAGCGGACATGGAGATATAGGTATGGCGTGGTCTCCAGATCAGGGTGCGCACTGGGTGTACGAGTCTATAGTAGTGAATGAGACTTACCACACATCCTACCCCTTCGTACTGCGCCACAGTGTTGATCCAAAAGTCACGAACTCGTTGGTAATGATACCTGAGACCAGTGCCATCAATGAGGTCAGGGCGTATGTTAGTAGCACAGACACACCAACTGAGTGGACTTATTTCGAGACACTTATCAGCGGCAGAGCTTATTCAGACGCGAGTGTGTTGGAGTACAACGGTGTGTGGTATATGTGGGCGTATGTCGCCTCGGAGAATGATGTACATCTGTTCTATTCCGACTCACTGCTGGAAGGCACTTGGACTGAACATCCCATGTCACCACTGGGCGCAGCACAGGTGCACAGTGATTTCCGCCGACCCGCCGGGAGACCATTAGTACTACGAGGCGATAAACACGCACACAAACAAGACAAGGTCATACGGTATGTGAAAGAGGGAGCCCAGAGGTTAGTAGGGTACGGGGCGGCTGTATGGGCATTAGAAGTGACTGAGCTCAACACCACACACTATGGCGAGCGTATTCAACGTCGCATCAGTCCTGTAGGTGGTAACGGGTGGGTGTCCAAGCGTGTGGGCAATGTGGATGCGCATGAGATCTCGCCGGGGTTGTGGGTGGCTGGTATCTCGGGCGACCATACTGGAGACTATCCTGTTACACGGTACTTCATAAGCACTGTAGTTCTTCTATTGGGCGCAGGAGTGCTGCTAGCCTTGACTTACACTGTCGCAGATATCACGAAGCGTGTGGGAGCTACGCGCCGACACCTGCACCGATTCGCAATGGAGAAGGTATACACACACCCAACTATACTATCTATTCTCACGATATGTTTGGGTATGGCTGTACTTTGGCAGTTCGATTTCCTTCTCGACTGTCGGCCGCCGGTGAACGTAGTAAACTTCACCGGAATAGGCCCGCACTGTGATCTGCCCGAGTATGGGGATGTTGCCTCGTGCGAGGGCTACCGTAAATTGGTAGAGAAGCAGAGCATAGTGGCCGCTATAGCAGGGTTGGATGCGGATGTGATAGTCGCCGATAGTACTGTTGTGGACAGTACCGCGAACGATGTCGCACATAAGGCAGAAGCTGTCGTACAGAACAATGAGCATGCGCAGGAGGGAGGTGAAGGTGATGCTTTATTAGAGTGTGAGGTAACCTTGGTGACGGCGTTGTTCGACCTGGGTAGGTATTCGCACAAGGCTGAGAATATGGAGGAGAAGTTCAAGGCGCGTTCGTTCGAAAAGTACCAAGCCTGGTTCGTCGATATACTCAAGCTCAACTCGTGCCTGGTCATATACATCGAAGAGGAAAGCGAGGCCTTAGTGTGGGAGCACCGAAACAAAAACAACACAGTTGTGCACGTAATACAGAATATCACGGAGGGGTATGAGAACTTGAGTGCTATCAAGAAGGTACTCAACGATGAGTCATATACAAGCCAGGTAGTGCGACCTGGCAGGCCAGAGATGAAGTTCGCAGCATATGGGGTGACTATGTTCAAGAAGATTGACTTTGTGAAGGAGAGTGTGGTTGCGAATCCCTTCCGGTCCGAGTACTTCTTCTGGCTGGACGGTGGTTACGGCCACGGCCGCCGCATGCCTGACTTTGGTACGGAGGTGTGGCCTGATCCCAAGAAAGTTCGCGAATACGTATCCCCTTATCAGGTATTCATACTACAGGCAGACCAGCCCGACTCGCACAACTGCGCCGATCTTCGAGCTACGTTTATGAACCACAAAACCGCTATGGCTGGAGGATTCTTTGGCGGCAAAGCCCAGCCTCTACTAGACTTCCATACAAGCTTTCACAGACAGCTTGATAAGACACTTGAGATGGGTATTATGGATGATGATCAGGCTGTGTTCTTTGCCAGTTGGTGTGAGCAGCACAGTCTGTTTCAAATGGAACAGTGTCCACCCAATGTGATGTGCCAGATCACAGGCACGAAGAGGTGTTTCGATAGGTGGAATTGCGCGGTCTCCTTCTTCTCGGAGGGAGACGTGCATGCACACCATATCCCACTAATCAACTGGATTGAGATGTAGGGTTACCATCTTTAAGGATGTGTGCACGTTTTATGATATATATGATGTATATTTTGTGTATATAAGCAAATAGAGCAAGGTGATGCGTGACTATTGCATATGAGCCTGAAACTCGCAAAACTATAGCGCCAACAATCAGCGCCGGGGCAGATCTGTTTCTGCCTAATACAACGTGTGATGTACACAGCTCCCGTTGTACCAAATATTAGGGTCTTGATGGCCAATAAACCTAGAACAGAATCAAATATCTGCTTGGTCTCCTTTCCAGAAATGGTGCGTTTCGTTTTCCCTAAATCGAGTTTGACATGCATGTCATCGCATTTGTTCCGTCTGAGATCTTTCCACAAAGATTTCTGTGCTGTATCTCCTGTGCGTGAGGTTTGACGTATGTGATATAACATACCTCGCGCATAAAGCAAACTCATTCAACTTGTTGAGGAAAGTGCAGATTTTTTACCAAGCCTGATTCGTTGCAGGTCTGATGTCACCTAATTCTACACAGAAACATTAGCCTTCCAAATACATAGAAAGCTTCAGGAAGTATTTGTCTGGCTATGTGCTAAAAAATCTGTTCAATTTGAGTGACCGGGTTGTTAAGCCTTACAGATATAGGTGGAAATAGACGAGTAGCTCCAATCTATCAGATGACTTTGAAGAGTAATGATAAGTTCGTCCACAATAATATAGTAAGTACATTGCACGAAATACGTACAATTGCACAGCCCCTGAAGACACTCCTATATCTCTACCGCCAACTCTTCTGTTACTATTTTTGTATACCTATTCAAGATATGTCAGCTGCTGTCTTACTGAGTGCAAATTCTAATTTCCCCCGGAACAAAAATAAAATTTTGCCTATCACTAGTGTAGCCGCCCGATTACGTAGAATTGTCATTTCATGATCCCGTATTTCGGCATCCTATGCACTCCATTGTATCGGTTCAATTCGACTAAGGATTATATCGGCACAATCATGCAATATGGATATTATGCACCCGTATACTCGTAGCCTATCACTTTTTTAATAGTCTATGGTATACTCATATAAAATCTCTGTTTATATGTATGTATTTATACTAAGTTTGTCACACCCGATTGGGCCGAATTATACTGAATGTCTAGAAATCCTCATCATCCGTCGTGCCGTCCTTTAATCCGATGTACTCTCTGAAAATGAAAGGACCGTCGGATAAGTAAACCATGTGTATGATCAAATGTACACTCCATTCTACTCGGACGCTGGTACAAACACATTTCGACTCGTGATATATTTGCGGGTATAAGGATCAATTTGATATGACTACGGCATTGCTATGATATTACATACGGCCATAGTTTGAACTCACCATGATGTAAGAGCTGGATACACCACTACCTCTATCAGAAACATATCTGTAGAAAGTTTTTCTCGGGCGCTCTCAGGGAACATTCCATTAACGAGTGTGACTGAACGACCATAGGACGAGTACTCGACACTCATCAACACAATGGTAATTGATACGACTTATAAATCAACCAAACGTACACCAATGGAAATCATATACTGTGTTCGACACTGAACATAATAGATATGAATACAACCCTCGATGACACGAGTGCTACAAAATATGAGAGATGACGTCGACACTCATGTACGTATACGTCACAATATATTTGTCAATTACATCTGTACAATCATGCTGTACCACTGTGTACTAATGAACCAATAGAAGCACCAAAAGGTACCTCACGCATCGCTAGATATCACAATACCGTGTCCAATATATATATAGTCGCTTATATTGGGAGATATTCTAGGTATATTTCTAAAAGAAAAAGGACATCAGTAAAAAAAAATACCTGTATAGGACTGAGATTGGGAGTAACCGGAGCGATCTTAAACACCGTGCAACTGCATACATAGTAGCGATGCTAGTATATACTAGCAAACACTCCCTTCAAATGCACCAGAAGAGATACATACGAATGTAGACATGGCAAGATACAACTTGTACAAAGAACATACTGTGACTCTGGATTGCGCCTGTTGTTGATGATGACGCTTGTGATGTAACCCAGCGGGAAGAAAATCAGCCCTGACACAAATATGCCAATCAACACCCCCATATGTTCAGCTTGACATTCCTTGACCTCTAAAAAGAAAGACAAAATAAGTGGCATGAGAAAACGGGACGACGATCAACTCGCATTCCATAGCACAACGGCATGATTCAAACAAACTACAAACCCACATGCTTGTTGCTGAAAATACTAGAAAACTACCGACATACGTAATCACACTACCGACATACGTATTTGAAAAATATATATTTATAAATATAGTGATATATAAATATATATTAATATATATATATATATAATATATATATATATATAGAAACATATACAAGGTGTATACAACAGTAATAAAAGATATACAAATATGTATAAATATATATATATATATATATAATATAATATATATATATATACATATAGTATATATAGTNTGTGTGTGTGTTGTTGTGTGTGTGTGT